TCCACTCAACTCAACTCGGCTCGGTACGGTTCGCCTCGTCTCGATGTAAGGCGTGTGGGTCGTCGTACAGAATTCAATAATGCGAATACTTTTGGCAGCGACGACAACAGTAAATTATTCAACAGCCGGTAGGACGATGAGCGCCAGGAGTCGTTGAGTAGGAAAAGAAAGAAAAAATGTAAATCTGTGATTTTAATGCGTTGCCCAACTGTAAACATAAACCCAAATATTACAAAACTTATGCAAACAGGCAGGCCATAAAAAAAGCATATCCTGTGCTGTCCTGTCACGGGGCGGGCAGGAGGAAATGAATGCGAATGCGAATGAGCGTATGTCAATTTAATGGGCGGAAACTGTTGAGCGCCGAGCACTCTGAAAAATCGTCACCGGTGGCAACCGTGTCCTTGTCTTATACGAGTAGTAGCAGAGGCAGAAGCAGCACGAGCGGCAGCAGCGGCAATATGAAATATTTATATGAAATTTTCATTTATTGTGCGTAACAAATGTGCACAACAGCAACATCAAGCTAAAAGCAACAACGATGTGGCAAGAGTGAAAGTAGAAGCGAGCAAAGGTGAAGGACATGCAGACAAACAGCAGGTCAGGCACAGGTGTGCGATGGTATGCTCGTCCTGTGTGAGGGTGTGTGCGTGTGTGCTCTTCATCTGCCCCACCCTGACTTGATGAAATGCTCACAAACACGCGCTCGCACTCGCTCTCGCCCCCAGTTCAGAAACTCGGTCGCAAGCCTCGTTGAAAGTTTCGTCATAAATACAGTTCCATACACATTTCGTTTGCCTTGCGTTTGTTTTTCTTTTCACTGTTGCCGTATTATGTGAAATTATTATATTTTAATTACATATGCGCGCCAGAAAAAAAATAACAGCAACAACAACAACAAAAATACCAACAGCAACAAAACAAATAAAAACAGAGCGGAAGAAATACCGCCAAAAAATTATAAATGAAAATGGCGTGAAAAATCAGTTTCATGGTTTTTATGCTGCTGTTTATTGTTGTTTTATATATATATATATATATATATATATATATATATATATATATATATATATATATGTATATGTACATATATACATGTATAGGATGTTCTGGTGTGTCAGTATGTATGTGTGTGCGTGTAGGTCGGGCGGATGTTGTTACGACCATTTAGCCGTTCTGTTAATGGGCTCAGACACGCCGACGACATTATGAGAAATATGTGCAAAATAAACAAATAGGACGGCGACCTAATTAATTTTAGACATTGTTGTTGTCCAACGGGTGCGCAGTTAGTTGCTGTTGCTATTCTACTATACAGGTGTAGCCAGCCACAAGCTCAACCGCCGTCTCATCGCCTAATTACCTAATTACAGTGAGGCCACTTACTCTGGGCAGCAGCAGCCAATAGAAGGTTGTCCCCCATATCAGGAACAAATAATGAGGGGGTTATAATATAAAGTCCAACCGCAATAAAATGGTCAGACTTGCGTTAAACAGTTATTTATTTTGTAAATGCTTTGGCAAATTGTAATCTCTACACGGTTTAAAATTGAAAAAATGTCTCATGTTGCATCCCCTTAATTTTTTAAAGAGGAGTAAAAGTTCCTTAAATGATTTGCATTATTAAACAATAATTTTAAATATTTGTTACATAATTATAATTTTGTAGAGTGCATAGTCAAAGAAACAAATTACTTTTAAAAATGTACTATTCCGATCTGGCTGGCTTAGACAAATAGATACATCGAGTTGTTATGTCATGTCGATCATTTCTGTATCAATAATGTGCGTGTGAAAAATTATTATTAATTATTTGCTCCTAATTTGTATATTATTAATTCGCTTAGATGTAAATAAAAAGTTTAACATAGTGTTTAAAAATTAATCGATAGTTGTTAGTTGATCTCAAATTGCCTCAAATTGTTTAGCTCGAGCTTCCACACTTGTACGTAATTTTATGTAATATTCTTACTGAGGACCACATTGTATTGAAACTGAACAATGAGTGCATGATTTCTTCCTGAAATCAGCCTTAAGACATTTTATCCAACGTGGTTCAGGAAAAACCATTTCAATGCTTTCGCCTATGTAATTATTGTCGTATTGAAGCAACTGAAAAATTTCCAAACATTGGCCATTAAATAGGAATCAAAGATTTTCTTAGGAAAAGCGGTCACGCGTTGAAAATCATATGATTACTGGGCGACTTCAAAACAGAGACAAAACACAACGCAATTTAGGGGTCTGACAAGTTGGACAATGCCGAGGGGAAGTGTATCAAAGGTTAAATCGACTGCATGAGCCAGCAAGGGGGAAAAGCAACTCGAACAGAAGCGGCCTCCTCGACTCGCTGCCAGTTCTCAATATTAAGAAATAACAACTTCCTGCTGGCGAATACTCGTTTAGTAAGTGCGCCCTATATGAGATTCCTCGGCGCTAGGCACCGACACTCCAAGCAGCTCGTTGCGAACTTTGGGGTCTTCAGTGTAAACAAGTGAAACAAATATTTAACTCGCAGGCACTGCTCGACATGTGTGCTAGTGTGTGTGCTAGTGTGTGTATTGGTGTGTGTATGTGTGTGTGCGAAGGAAGGGGTGGGAGAAAGCAGCCACAACCCTCGGCAACTTGTAAAGTTTGCTGCCTGGCGGGCTGCTGCCTCGCTTATTTGTCGAAGCGCGGAGCTCAAAGCTTTCTTTATGAAATCGGCGACAAACCTTCGCAGCATACCCCTCCCCCCCCCTCCACACCATCCCCCCACTATCATCCCTGCTCAGCGAGAAACATGTACACAAGTGTTTATGTTTGTCTTGGCGGCGTCTCATAAACTCCTTGGCATTTGAGACTCCTGCATAGAGGGCAGTGCTCGGAAGTTCGCCAGCGTCAAATGTCAAATGGCAGGCGCCAACGGGATCTCTACAACATTATTACACTGGGAGAAACTTGTGCTTAAATGAAGGCAGAGACATATTGAATCACTGATCACTTTAAGAATATCGGTTTTAAGTTTTACAGCAAACATATATTTAAGACAGGTAGATCAATCTATTATAGTAATACTATATTTTTAGATGCTCATTAAGACAAACAGAAGGAAATGGCTGGATTAATTTATATGTGTACTTATAAGGGGGTCATAGCTGATTCCTTCTGCCTTTGCACAATTTAAAAAACCCGATTCAACCTTCGGGAGTAGGGTGTTGTAACAAATGTGAAGCCGTTTAGATTAGCTTCTAATACATGACAGTGTTTAATTCGGCTCTTTTTATACAAAAAATTATGTATAAAAGGTCCTATGTACTAACAATATTAGCTTAATGTTAAATGTGTGTAAACAGATGGGTTTACTTATAAGTGTGTAAGTTTAAGTGAGAATGAGTGGCATCGATCGTCAATAAGTCTATTTGGTTCGCCACTTTGGTCAGAGTGTACAACGAAATACTTTCTATAATGATTTCAGCTGATCATCTAACTTCAATAAAATGATCAAGAAAGCCAATTTATTTGAAGTTGTTGCAGGTTTTTCAAGGTCGGGACTGCACGACATAAGCTTTCCATTAATTTCTTAATGTAATGAACGTCCTATAAGAGCCCTTTGGCCCCTTTTCTATTGTTTCATCAATTAAATAGTTTCAATAGAAGCAGATTTATAGCATGGCTGTAAAAATTGGCAGAGAGAATTTATTGTTCAACTATTTACTACAACAAGGGTTTCCCTCAGTGCACACAATATTTGCTAATGTATTTTTGAATGTGTATGTGCTCATGCTGCAAAAAGTTCAAGGGGAAAGTATGTGTAATTATATTACATATTTTATTGCTGAGCAGCTGTGGGAGTTTTGGAAACGCTCTCTGTCGCACTCAGTTGCTTTTGGTAACGCTACCTGATGCTTGTTTATTGGCATGCAAATACGCTTATTAAATGCCACTTTACTCTTTTGTGGTTGCCCGGGCGGCCGCCACTTTTGATTGTGGTTGCCCGAACTTGTGGATTCATTGACACATTTCGGGGCATTGACAACGACTAACATTTAATTTCCAGCCGCCCCCATGTTCTCTGCCAACCCACAATTGTCTAATGCTCATGTCGGGGCTGCTCCTAATCTTTCAGAGTATCAGCGTGAGCAAATGACATGCAGCTCATGAAATATTTAAATAAAAAATGTACCCCCAACACACAAACACTTCAAATGTTAGAATAGTGCGGGCACAATTAACGGCAATCAGTAAAAAAAAGTAATGTAGGAATAAAGTAATGCGCCATAAAAATATACGAAAATGGGCAGCGAACGGAAATAATTGCTCCATTTGGTTAGTGTAAAAATCGTGTATTGGGGCAAGGCGCCAAAACGAATACGCCCCGGGCTGGCATTTTGTCATGGTATTTGTTGTTTCTGCTATTGTGCTGCTAGACGAAGTTGATGCAATTATATAATTTCATACAACAATAGGCTGGCCACACATGCGTGTGTGAGTGCTCCGAACACGCCCTGCCACATTAAACGGGGCTTGGGGGAATTGCGACTCGCCGGAGTCGTCATCGTCATTGTCGTGATAGTCGCCCTCATGGACTCCTACCGAAAAGCGGCGCGTGGAACACAAAAACTACACATGTGAATAGTGGTAGAACAACCCCATGATAGTCATACACCCACACACACCCACACACACACACATGTGGGGTCCCCGCCCACGCCCCTCTTTTACGAGTGTGTCTCATGCTGATTGTTTTTACGTAGCCGCATGTTGAGTCCTGCCTTAAGCGAGTAACAACTAAACTCCTCCACAATTAGGTGGAAATTAACGCAATTAGATTGCTGGGAGCGTACATACTACGTTCAATTGTGGTTTCTGCTTTCATATACGAGTTCATAGTATACATAAATTGCAATGTGTCCTTTCTTTTCTTGTTGTTTATTTCAGGCATTGCCAACGCCCGCAGCATTAGTCAGCGAGAAAAAAGTCGACAGTCGACCCTGCATTGAATTCGCCTGTTCCTACCTTTCCATAAATAGGACCGACCAGGGTCGACCTGCCCGTACGTGACGTGGCCTTTGTTTTATTCAAAACAAGGTAAGCTGAGTTCCTAAATAATTGCTGGGGTTGAAATGTGCAAACGTTTGAGGGTTCTGAGACACATTAAGGATATTAAGTTTATTATTTAACTTGTATTTGGTGGCATGTTTAAAAAGGACTTCATCTTAAACCAACACATATCTTGGAATTTTAAGTGAGGCAGATGTGTTGTATTAAAGAAATGATTTCTAAGTTATACATTTAATATCAATATGGGTATTTAATAGTATTTAATCAGTCCATTAGCACGGCCGTAGCTATTTAGCACCGATGAAAATGTAATAATTGTGCAACCTAGGAGAGATCTTAAATAAAGATAAAAGATTAAAAAACAAATTCTACCTAAGCTGCTTACATTACTTTTAGAACTGTTTATTCATTTCATTGGATACTTCTTTATTAGTTTTCCTAAAGCAAGCATCAGATAGAGAATAAAATGATTGTAACAATTCGTTGCCATAGACAACTCTATTCTAGACAATTGAGAAGCTTTTGGGTGTCACATAAATAAAATAAAAGGAGTAGTACCCCAAAGCCATGGGAGTCCGACTCTTGAATACCCTGCATTCAACATTCTCCCCGGTACAGCCTTTACATATCATCCCTATGTCAGCCTTTTCTTAGCAACAGATGGGGAAAAATATTAGTATTCTTAAATAAAACATTTCATTGCCCCTTAGAGTCCAATTAAATTAATTGAATGCTACTTGTGCGATACAGGATCCCACCTGCCATATGCCTATATAACAATATAGTCAGTACAATAAGCAGCTTTACTCTTGAAATTCAAAAGTTCTGAAACGGTAGAAACCGGTTTGACTTGTCAGCACTTTCCATCCCTGATAATTGAAGAATGGCAGAGTGGCGTCAAATTAGAATGAAATGTGTGCCAACAAGCAACTCATATCATTAGCAACTTAGGCGCAGTCGCTTCTCGAAACTCAACTAATTAAGTCGGGGTGAGATGTCACAAGCAGAAGCTGCAGAAGGCGTGGATTCAAAGTCGAATTCTAAGACCGAGTTTGAGTCTGGCAGGCGCATTTCAAATTCACTTTCAAAGTCAGTGGCAGACAGACAGACATACAGACAGGCACACACACTCACACACACACAAACAAACACACTCTCCCATACACAAACACATTTTGTTGCCAGGTAGAGAAGGCAAGAGGGATAGGAGGTGAAGGATAGAGAGTGTAGAGCTTTCAACTCGCTGGCATCTTCATAATGTTTTATGCAAAATTGTTAAAATATTTGGCAGTTGAGTTAAAAGTTGTCCCAGCACGCTGCTGGGCACCCCTCAGTCCCATCTATGCGAATATGTCTGTGTCTATTTATGTTTGAATGTTTGTGTTTATCTTCGCTAGCATTTTTGCTAAACTGAAAGAATTTATTATATCTAACAACAAAGCCAACAACAGCAACAACAGCAGCTAAAACAGCACTACGTACTAGCAGAAGCATGACAAATTTTCACTTTACTTCGCAACTTGCAACAAAGTTGCACGGCAACATCAACAGCAACGGCAACAGCGCATATAATTTCACTCGCAGCAGCTAAAAAGTCAACACAAAAAGTGCCCAAAAGAGCGAAGGACTACTTATCTGCCAGACCCGGGCCAACGGGAAAAGCAGGCAGCAGGCAGGCAGGCAGAAGGGCAGGAAGGCAGGTTGCCGGCAGACAGAGCCAGAAAAAAGGAGAAATAACTTTGGGCAGGTGCTGCCAATTTGAGTATTAAGCAGTTGCTGGATTAACCCATTAAAGTGCATCAACGCATGAACTTAAAGTCCATTCCATTTGAACTTCTAACACAATTAAATTCTTCACCAATTCAAATGGTTTTTTATTTATTGGTTCGAGCAACAACACTAAAATCAACTCAAGTCAAAAACGAAAACTGTATAAATTGTATAAATTAAATTTAAACGTTTTGTAAGGTGTATAAAAAATATAGTTAATGTTCAATTATTGCAGTTTTCAGTTAGAAAAATATCGTATCGTATCGATGTTTATCATCGTCATTTGAGAATTTAGTAAAATTACTAAGAGGCAATTGGGGAAAGAAGTAACCAATTGATTTTAATAATATAAAATTTATCGTACACTGTTTTTGAATTTAAACACTGACAAACTGACAATTCTTAAAACTAGTATTAACACCATTGTGAATTATCCATCTCCCATACTGAATTAATAGTTATCTGTTATCGAATGGCATTTAGAGATAAGAAGAAGACGCAAGGCGTGCAGATCAAATAAATGAAGAATTAAAAAGAATCCAAATACAGCGAGCAGCTTTCAATAATTCGACGGGGATTAGTTTCACAGCTATCTGAAGATTTGAACCGAATCAGTTTTCAAAGTTATTCATGTTAGGGAAAGTTGAAAAAAGGCCATTTTGAATGTGGATTGTAACTCAGACTTGATGAATAAATTCAACATATTTGCATCTCTTCGAACACTTAGTTTATTCGCCAATTAGTAAAAATGAATTTTCTAATGGCGTTTATTACTTTCTGATGCTGTTTTAATAACCCTCTGACATTTGTTTCTAAAATAATGAAAACGTTATATTTTTTTGGAACTTTACAAGCAATACAGGTATAATAAATTACTTTACATTTTTAGGTGCCATATTTTTTGATTCAAATGTGTCAAGTATTTATTTATTACTTTGCAGTGATTTGGGAAATATAGTATTGCAAATCAACAACTAAAATAATTAGAATCATCCATCATTCTGGTCGTGTAGTTTCAATTTTTCGGTTTGTCGTAGCCAGCGATGCGGCGCTAATGGGTTAAAAAGGCTCGGAAACATTAAACGGCATTGGTTGGTTGACTAGCTCTGGCTGCCTGGCAGGCAGTGGGGCGACAGGCAAACAAATTGTGCAGCAAAAGTTAAAGCTCTTCACTTAAGCCAACCAGTAAAAAGGCAAATAAAGGGGAAGCGCGCGAGTGAGCGCCGAAATAAGTATAAGTGAAAAAATGACAGCTAAAGTAATGTGCTGCTGGTGGATCAAATGCAGCTAAGGTGGGCTGGGGGGCAGGTAGATGGCACAGCGGGGCATCTGCATATAACTTTTAACGAAAATATGTGTCAACAATATGGCGACGATGTTGGCGAAAAGGCAGGAAGGCAGAGAAGGCTGAGGAGCAGGGAAAGGCGGCGGCGATGAGAGAAAGTTTACTACTACTTTTCATTTTATTTTGCTGACAGGTATGCTAAAAGCCAAAAAACGAGCAGCAAGGTATTGAGCAGACGATGGCGGGAATGAAGCAAAAATAGTCAAAAGTGCTTAAAGAAGAAGAAGAAGCAGAAACGCACACAAGCACCAACCCACACACTTACTCATTTGCTAGTCGCTGTCGATGCGAGCTCGCCGCGTGTGTGACAGCTGGTAGTGACTTTGCCCCATAATATTAACAACAACGAAAGGGTTAAGAAGAAATAACAGTCGCCTGTTTCTGCGACTGTCAAATCAAATGGCAAACAATTTCTGAAATATTTATGGAGTGACATGCTCATTGGTGGCAATAAATATGAGAATAAAAACAAAGTGAGGCTCACCCCCACAAATATATTCCTCAAGCGCAAATATCAATCCATTTGCATGCTACACTAGGCAGCAAGTGTATGTTGACAACCCTTTGACAGCCATTCGTGTGCACAAATACATATCACTATAATGTGAAAGTGTGTCTACCGTAAGAGTGTTTAATGTAGGAACTACAAATAACTTTCAAGCATTTGTACATTAAAAATATTTAAATGCTCGCATGCTATGATTATTTGTAGTCCCGAAATTTCATAAAACATAATTAAAAGCATATCTTCGCTGCGTTCTAAACTTTATTCCACCAAGATCATGGGTCACATGCCGTATACATATGTACTTGTATATCGTACCGTTTCTCTCTTTATAATCTCGCCATCCATCTGTCATATGCCAGCTATATGAAATATAGCTTTGACATGATCGGTATCCATATATATGTAGTATTTTCTGTGTCCGTTTAACAAAAAAGCCTTGAGGCGCAGTTTCCTTAAATAATAAATAAAATAATAATTAAATAATAAATAATTGTTCTTTATTCACACCCAGGAATGCGTGTTCTACTTTTCAGATAAACTAAAGATATATTTAGAGCTTGAAATAGTAGTTATTAAATAAAAGCTTTTTACTGAACATTATATTACACCTTTATCCTACTTTCATGATGTGAGTGTCACCGACTAAGATCCCTTAACTAAAATCTTAATTAATTGAAACTAACAGATGACCGTCAAAATCAGTGAGCTTCTTCTTAAGTGAGTCTAAAGGACGAATTCTTACATAGCATAAACAGATGGGTTGGCAAACGATCCTTAAAATGAAATATCTATTATGCTCATTAGTCAAAATACAGACATCGGTTGGCATGTGGTTGTACAAGTATACATATATAAATATATATTTGTGTGTGTTTCATGAGGAAAACAAATCAAAGTCCTATGAGCAATTAGATTTCAAATTTCAATAAATAAATTATGTCGCTACTATGAAGCCCAACTCATACACAAAGCGGTTGCTGATTGATGGCTGTGTTTTGTGTGCCATTTTATATTCTCGCCAACTGTCGGCCACATGTCTGCACTTTGGCTAATATGTGTACACACATATCTTTATGTGTATGCATACATACTGGCATGGACACTGTCGGTGGGTCTTTTGGCTGCCACTTGTCCCTTTTCATAGCCAGACCAATAAACTATTTTTACTTTCATAGCGCCGAACGAGCCGAAGTCTCTGTCCCTCAGTCACTCAATCTCTGTCTCTCTCTCTCTGTCTCTGTCCGTCCTTCAGTCAGTCTGAAAGTCAGCTAGTCAGTCATTCAAAGTCAAGCACGTCCGGGCAGCTTTGGTTGGTGTCCGTGTGTGTCCTGGACTATGTTCCCGCAGCTTAAAGTTATTCTCTTCTTTTTTTTTGCGGCGCTTATAATGTGCTGGCTGACGAGCGACGGGGGCTGGGGCGGCGACAGGGCGATGATGAGCACGGACATATGAGTATGTCATAAACAACTACGACTCTTCCGGCTCGTCAGCTGCGGCAGAAGCAGCAGAGGCGACAGTGTCGTCAATTTGTCGGCTGCATTTGTTGCTGACAGTGCGCGGTTGCCCGCCCCCGTTTGCTCCTTCATGTGTATAAGCTCATTGTTGACAAAACCTCATGACACACACACACACACACATTCAGATGAGCACATGCTCGCCTGGCAGACATATTGTTAAGTCCTTTGGTGCCGCCCTGCTTGCCACAGCGGAAGTGTCACCATTTGTCAAATAACGAAAATTGAAAACAATTTCCACGCAGCATCAGCAGCAGCAGCAACAACAGCAGAATAAGTCAGGGAAGAAAGCGGCAGAAGCAGATTTTAGCTTCACACATTTTGCCAGCTTGCCTTTGTCTTCATCGTCCTCATCCTCATCATTGTATCTTCAGCGGCATCATCATCATCATCATCATCATCATGCTCATCTTGCACAACTTTTTCACACGGCCATGGCATTTTCCAGTTATGCTTCCCGGCTCTCGACTCCAGCTCCAACTCCCAGCATATCCTTGCAGCTCCGGCTGTTATGTTTATATTCAATGCTGCTGTCTGATAAGCAAAGTTCTGCGCTAGTACGCACAAGGAGCCAACGAACAAGAAGAAGACAACACCGATTCATATACAATACAAACAAGCATAACAACAGCAACAGCAACAACAATAACAACAGAACCCTTGGCTGGGCGTCAATAACAAGCGGCATAGCCACAGAAGACGTCAAAAAATGGAACGGAGCAACGAGTGCGGAGGCCTTCTTTAAAGTTAAGAAATATAGTATTCTCATTGAAGCATAGGCCACAATTTATTGTAGTACATGCAATGAATACTACCAGTAAGTAGGGGAGTGTAGGGGCTTAGCACTCCATCGAAAATTGCATGTGTCGCCGCAGACAACGGTATGGTTGACAGCTTAGTAGTGGCTTTGCTCCAATTTCCCAGTGAGTCCGGGCTCTGGTGCACTGGGTTACTTGGGGCTGTCAATTCGTTCTCAGTGCCGTCGCACTTTCTTGCCCAGACTTTTGCATACTTTATTGTCTGAGCACAAACACACGCTTGCACTTAAAACATATGCGTGTGTCTGTATGTGTGTGTCAGGCTGTTTGTCTGCCCAAGTGTGTGCGTTTCTCGCTTCAGAAGTTTAATCGAAATTATAAACAGCAAGACAAATTGATTCTTGTTGCAATTTTCTTACATTATGAGGCGCCTAGCGTGAAGTCCTTGCGACGAGGATAGCGACGCGAACCTTCTTCAAAGGAATAACTTTGCATGTTGACGTTTGTCGGCAATGTTGTTGTTCTTATGCAACACGACGCCGACTGGTTAGTATACTCTTCCCAGCTAAGTCTTCATCCTCATATACATAGCTGGTGATCCGAATGCAATTGTGGAGATATGAGGATTTTTTAAATGTATTTATTTTATTTATATCAAGGGATCCAGTTCTTATAACATCAGTAAATTAGACAAAATAATAATGGAAAATATATGGAAAATGAAAATATAATGGTTAAATGGAAAATACATATCATGTATGTACGTCATGTAGTATGCTATGGATATGCAAGATAATCAAACTGTTTATAAAACCGAATTCCTTTTTAACATTTTAGCATAACCTTTTTAAAAATACATGAAATTTTTGACCTACTCCATATTAAGGTTGTGTGAATTACGAAATTTGATATCGATTTAAGTCAAAGGGCTTGGAAACTACAGCTGACGGCCTTTTAGGTGCCTGCTGTAGCTTTTCCCGTTTATACCGACTGTAAAAATGTTAGATAAAACGATCTAATGGTGCAGCCAATATATTATTTTCGGTGGGGTTTCTTAATTCATTATTTGAATTAATTTAGTGAATGCAATATTTATGTTGCTTTTCTTGGAAGTTCTAAAGTTAATTAAATTCCACATTTCATTTAAACGCACACAGTTGACTTTTTTAGAATATTCGAAAACTCATAAGATAGCTCAAAACCTCTTCAAAAATCCTGCTCCATTTTTCTACAGTTAGTTTTTAGAGCATTTCGACTTCTTTGTATTGGTGGTACAGTGGAACATTTTCATGCTCTGTTGTGTTTTTGACATAGAGAACTTTCTTGTTGATAAATGGCTTATGAATTCTGTGAGAACTCGCATAAATCTTATGATTTATGCATAATCAACAAATTGATTTTTCATTCGCTGTACGTTTCTTTGCAGCCTTCCTTCCTACGCCCCTTGCTGGCTTATCCAGTAAGTGTCTGTGGCAGTGGCAGTGGCTGTCTGCGCTTTTGTCAAGCGTGTATAATTGGATACATGTGCGTGTGTGTGTGTGTGTGCGTGTGTGTATGTATGTACATAAAAATCTAATTATGCCCGAATGCTGTCACATTCGTTTGAACGAGTATGTACCGCTTATATACAAGTATGTACATTTTTCTGATTTCTTACTCCATGACACACTTAAAAACGGCAAGGATATGGGGACGAGTGTGCATCTTCTTCGACTGCCATTAAAGTGCTTTCGAATTAATTTCTCTATCCCAACTTTCTGCACACGTCTACTCAGTGCATTTGAGTGTGTGGATCTGGGCATGAGGGTGAGCTATTTTAGTTTTGACTTTGCTTTGATATTTAAATTGAGGCTGTCTCGTATGTTCGTCCATTGCTTCTGCTGCTCTGCTTCTGCTTCTGCTAAAGTTTTCATGAGTGTTGTGAGCACTTAATCTTGTGGTCTGTGTGCCATGCCACATGAAACGCTTGAACCATGAACTTAGCAACTGTCTGGCAAAGATTATACATTTCTTATTGAAGAACTGACGGCCACGCTAAGCCAACTTAAGCGTCATATCATGCTTCAGCTATAACAATCGAAACACTTATCATCGGCTTATTTAAAATTTATAACCGAAATCAATGTAATGAAGCATGCCAAAGTCAATAACTCAAATGACTTTCAGCTTTTCCTCTCCCACCCTCCTCCCATCCCACATTTGCCCATCATCAGAGCCAGTCAGGCAGTGAGGCAGTGAGGCAGTGAGGCAGTGAGGCAGTCAGACAACCCCAATTGGCCGTTCCTGCCGGGCCGTAAAATCGAGACAATATTTTATGCAAATCACTGCATGCAAATTATACAACGAATTTCGATAACTCACTTGACAACTGCCAATAACTTATTTACACTTCATTATTTCATTAGAGGCATGTTTCAACCAACCCAACCCGAACCAACCAAACCACCCCATCTCAATCCCCAATCCCCCTCCTCCCACCACACACTCATACACACACAGCGAGAGGACAGCCTTCGATATGCAAATGCCCAATTCGACTTATTAATTTATTAAATAAAAATACTTTATAAGCGTAATTAGAGAGCACTTAGGCAAATGACACTTGAAATACAAAATTTGTGCGAGAGTACCACGAGTGGCACTGTGGCAGGAGCGGACCAAGGGCAGGAGGGGGGCTATAGGCTGCGAAGGCGCCGCATGGGGCAGCATGAAGCCGTTGCCGTTGAACGAACAATCAGCGACAGTGTTGCAGTTATTTATGAGCGCAATAAATCTGTTTATGGTAGTCAAAGGGGGTACACAGTGGGAGTGCGTTGAGGCAGTGATTTGGGAAGGGCTCCTCCACTGCGCAGCGGAGCGTCAAAAAATACAGCCAGAGAGCACAACAACAATAACTACGGCAAAAGCAATAAGATTGGGCAAACGTCATGCCCTGGACTTTTTACTGTTGGCGTTCATTGAAAATCCCGCAAATTACTTGGGCCTCGGGAGGTTGGGATTGAATGGGTTGGGTTTTCGGAGGTTCGACCGCAAAGCGGCGCGAAAATGTGAAATGCGAAAAATGAAATATGACCGAAAAGTAAAAAGTTAACAACATTAATTAGCATTTTTATGAAGCGTTTTACTTGTATGCTTTCTGCCCCTCTTCCCACGCAAACGTGCGCAGCAGATAAACAAATTTTATTGACTGAGTCACTCTGTTTTCCTCGATTTATTTGCAGACACCGCACCACTTCCCCACAGAAGTAAAAGAAGTAATATCAACGAAAGGTTCTAGAACGCAAAATGTTGCCGCATCATCAACGCCATAAAATGGTGGCGCTTGTTGGCGCCGCCATTTTGTTGGCATGCTGTCTTATTACGCCCGTCGAGGCGAGGTCACGGGACAAGGAGGAGCGCCGTAGTCGTGGTCGTGGCAACAACGCCTCCGGGTCATCATCCATTTCCTCGTCGTCCTCCTCCTCAGGCCTAGCAGGTGGCTCTTCATCCAGCTACTACACCTCCAGCTTTGGCAGCTCCTCGAACAGTGGCAGCACTGGCTACAACGGACCCATGGACAGCACCGGCTTCTGTACGCGTCGCCGGGATATGAAGCTAATGTGCTACTGCACGCCTGACGAGAATCATGTGCCGGTACAGAAGGCCGAGTGTTGGGTATTTTCGGAGGGCCTGCATGAGAACGACACCACCTGGACACGTTTCTATCAGCAGAAGAGGCTGCGCGAACTCAAGTTCGTCATTCAGAACAATGCACGTCTGGACTACATACCCACAATGATTATAGAGCCGTTGAAGAACCTAAGCAGCATTGTCATCGAGTATTCCCAGGTGGAGATTGTCAAGAGCTATGCCTTCGCCAATTTGCCCTTCCTGGAGCGCATCATTCTTAATAATAACCACATAATGGCTCTGGATCAGGACGCATTTGCCAACCACATACGTCTGCGTGAACTGAATCTGGAGCACAACCAGATCTTTGAGATCGATCGCTATGCCTTCCGTAACTTGCCGCTGTGCGAGCGCCTCTACATGAACAATAACAACATAAGCACCCTGCATGAGGGTCTCTTCGCCGATATGGCGCGCCTCACCTTGCTGAGCTTGGCCCACAACCAGATTAACGTGTTGACAAGCGAGATATTCCGAGGCTTGGGAAATCTTAACGTTCTCAAGCTTACCCATAACAATCTTAACTTTATCGGCGACACAGTCTTTGCTGAGCTTTGGAGCTTAAGCGAACTGGAATTGGACGATAATCGCATAGAGGTAAGTCATAAACGGGTTTTGCGAGCAAGCCATAAAGACAAACCTTGAAATTATATTAGTCTGAGCCAAATCTATGTACCCAAGATCATAGACCGCAAATTACGGACCAAGAACAATATACTCTTACAGTGGTATACTTTATTTTTATTTCCATTATTTTCTTATTATTTGTCTACTATTATTCATTTTGAAATTTTCAAACACTAAGTTTGTTTCATGAATTAGTTTTTCGTATATGTTGCGTAACAATTTCATATTTCTGTGGGTTTTTAATACCCTGTCCCCAAGGGGTAAATGGGTAAACTAGTTTAGTACGAATCTTTCTCTGTAACACACAGACCTCAGAAAGTATGCGAGTATACTCTTATAGTCTATATTTAAACAAACTTATTGGTAGCCATAACCGAGGATCATTCGAAATAAACTTTTGTTTATTCCGAATAAAGACGACAATAATCTGTCTGTGGTTATAACAACTCTTATACCTGGACCTAGGAAAATCCCTGCACGATAACATGTATACTTGTGTCGCTTTAATTGATCAAAAATTATTTTATTTTTACGTTTGCAATAACTACAACACCTACACTATTTCAATATTCGTGCAAAGTCTGAGCTGTGACTCTACATATGAAGGAAACATGTCTGATTAGAGGTACAGCTTTGTATAATCTACACAAATTATCGAATGATACCAGACTGGGCAGTGTTCTGTTCCACTAGTTGGTGTTAAAGTTGTATTATACATAGCTGATAGCCCATAGGGGGACAGTGCCCATAAATCTTGCCTGGCCATAAGAAACAGAGAGGCAGAGGCTTCAGTGTCAAAAATAGGCAATCCTCCGGCGCTTACAACTTGCTGTTGTCATAAATTCAATTCGAATGCCCATTTCTGTGGTGATTTAAGTGGTCACTCAGCGGGCAGCGACCCGAGGTTCCCGAAAACTCAACAACTCGACAAGTTGCTAGCCCGCCGCCAGTCGACCCATCATTCAGGCGCCTGCTGCGTGCTAAGGCGCAAATATGATAAATAGATTTGTAAATTATGTTTTTAGGGGCCTGCAGAACACAAAGCGGTTCATAGTCACAGCTTAATTCACACAAACACACATACTGGGACTGAGATTCGCGTCGGATAGGCCGCACACTGACATTATCCTTTCTACGCTTTCACGCTAGATGAAGATCCGAACAAATGTTGGCTGCAAGTTAATCTACTTGCAAAATATTGAATAACAAATCATTGAATAATAGATTTATGACACTCCCTTTCGCATATAAGTGCGATGCGGGCGGCTATAAAAAATAAGGACGACCGACATCGAAAGAAGACGGGACGGGACAGTGCAAATAGGAAGTGTCGCTTAACAGGATGCGCAGTGGGGCGAAGTTGTGTTATGTCAGCTGAGTCATGTGTTTATGCGAATAGCTGAGTATCTGAATTACTGAGTATCTGAGTGCCGGGTGGCAGCTGTTCAAGCCGAGTCTGAACGATAAGCGTAAATCCTGCATATCTGCTGCGCACTCAGGCCAACATTGTGTTAGGCTCCGGCCTGTTCTTCTCACCATTTTAGCCCCAACCTTCTTCTTCTGCTGGTCTGCCTTCACTATTTCTTTGGATTTAGCAGCGTGCTTCATTTTTTCCATTTTACAAAGTGGTCGCATATCATGTCACACTCAGACAACTCGCATATGTGTCAAGCCAGGCCACTAGGACGCCACTCATACTCTCAAACATACACGCACCCCCACACCCACACCCACATTCCCATTCGCACTCGCATTCACACACACCGACGCACGCCTAAGGGTCTTGGCCTCAAGAGCCTGCTGGAACTTTTGCGACTGTCGTTGACAAGCCACCTACCCGTCCCAACCTCACCTCCCAACCCCCTCTCGCAAACCACTCCCTATCCGGAGGTTGTCATAGTCATAACGACGATTGGGCTTCTCTTATCGCAGTCGCATTGTTTCGACTTGGACTTGGCTTCGCCATTTTGCGCATATGTTTGGCTTTGCCTGCGCCAAAAATATTTTTTCACATCCTTCCTCTTCTATCAAGTGTTGACCCGAAGCTCCTTTTAATAAAAGTAAATTGCGTTGCATTTTTTTCTAGCTTCCATGTCCTTTTCTGGCTCGACCTCAACGTACTTCATAAATCATTTGTATATGCTTAAAAAAAGGCTTGGGAAACTAGCAACAATACACATACTATGAAAAAAATTGCTGGCCAGGCATTTAACAAAATTTGTGGAAAGTTTAATAAAATGTCCATTCTTGCTGCTTTAAAGGCTGCTTGCCTAGCGATCTGTGGCCTATATATGACGATTCTGTATGACGGCATTCACTCTCATTCTCCATTTTCATTGATTTTCTTTGCTTTTTATAAAGACCACCACCTCTCATCAGTCCCCCCTCCCCACCGTCTGTTTGTGGAAGCAAAAAGCTTTGCGTAGCCAACCGAGAAAACAAAAAAATATTTGCTGCTATTTTTCCGCATATCTGGGTATTATTTTCATTGTTTTTTTTACCACCGCCCCGCTATTGTTGTTTGTGTATTTATTTATGCATATACATATGTACCATGCATATGTATGAGTGTATGTATTTTTTTTAACTTGTATGTTCCAATTCGTTTGTCTTGAATTTTATTATCATGCGGAAAAGTGTTTATTTTTGTCGAGCGCAAGAAAGTTGCGCACCGACGAATGAGCGACTGTCTCCATGTCCTGTCTGTCTTCACAATGTATGTGAATGCGTGTGTTTCTGGCTGCCATTATTTAATATTCAATATGCTTTGTCAAGGGAAATGGAAAAATTATGCATATTAAATGTTGAGGCATGTTTCGCGCTTTCTGCCTTTGAAGCATCGAGAAATAAGAACAATGTGACGTAAATCTTTGTTTGTTTATTTGCACAGCCCAGTGCAGAAAATGTGGGAAATATTTCCACCCCACTTCCCGGTGGGAATTACTGCTTACAGCTTGTTTTCATTTTCAGGGCGAATCGTGGCGTAACTGATTTACATAAAACATATTTTTTATTGAGACATTTTGTTAGTTTGGTGAACGCGGCATTTCAATTTTCCGGGGTGCGTGGGAGCTATTATTTAAAAGCCAGTCATATTTCCTTTCGCGCAAGCTTTTTTTTTTCTTTTACGCAGATAAACAAATCAATTATGGTTTACTGACCTTACCTCTGTCTTGTGTACATTCCAGCGCATTTCGGAGCGTGCCCTGGATGGATTGAACAATCTAAAAACACTCAACTTGCGCAACAATTTGCTGAAGAAAATCGACAATGGCTTGCTTCGTGGCACGCCAGCCCTGCTGTCCATCAACGTGCAGGCCAACAAATTGGAAACGCTGACGTTCTACACATTCCAGCCAATTATGGACAATTTGGTCAACAGTACCAGCGAGTTGTTGGTGTCAGGTGAGTTTGAGAGAAATGTGTGTGCCATCGAATAGATAGTGGACGAACGGATAAACAGTCGCATGAAAGCTCAGGCGTGTACATTGACCGATGCACATTGGGACAGAAACAAAATTCGAAATTCGGGAGATCCTTTACACAATCTTTGAAAAGCCGATGAACTTGACTTACAACCTTAAAAATGCATTAAGAATTCTGCAAATTATAGATACTACTGCAAAAAGGGCTGTGTTTTTTTTTTTGGCAGTTATCAAATTTATATTAATATTATGATCGAAGAAAGGTTAAGGAGAGTTTATGAATGATATCGCTGTTCGGATTTGTGCGGACGTGCTGACAATTTAATTCCAAATTAAAGAAAAACGAAGATATTCTGTAATTATTGTTGGTGAAGGATATAATGATATTTTCACTTCTAGGTATTGAACTCAGCCATTTTTAAATGCAAATAATTGTGGAAAGGATTAAAAAAAAGATGAATCTTCTGTTTCAGTGTGCGCTGGTAGAATAGTATTATTGATAGAACATCGATTGGTAGAGTGTCAATGTACATGACAAAAACTGACAACATGAACAAATGAGGCAGCGACGTCGCTGTTGACAACATCGGATGTTGAAGGACGTCGAAGACGTGGTTGGGGACGACGATGTAGCGAAGTTGAAGTTGTTATAATTACACATTCGCCGTGTTGCCAGTTTCAGTTTATGTGGGAAATGAGCTGAGCTCAGCTAGTTTGCAGTTGCCGATGGCCAGTGGCGGCAAAAGTAGAAGCGAGAGCTGACATGGCGTATACGTAATAAAGTTTTATGCCTGCAGTTTGCGTGTGTTTGTGGAATTGTCTGTTTGTAGGTTTTGTATAAAAGAACAATTAGGTTTGAACCAACACATTCACATATGTGTATGTATGTGTCTGTACGTGTGATTGTTGTGTGTTGTTGCCTTCATTAGGGAAACGTTGTATCGCCATTGCTCAAGTGTGCGCTTCCGTTGACACTTACGGGCATGCACACAGACTTGGCCACTTTGTTGTTAATTGCATGCTCTTGAGCAATGGCACTTGCAAAATATTCCAACAGACACATACACAGGAACGCGTTTGAAGAAAGCGGGCAATATGACAACGGGACAGAGCTGGACTCATTTGTAGCAATTGCCTCCAAGCGCGCACAAAAACTAAATTAGCCATTAAAGTGCAATTTGAAAGCGGCCAGTAGTGTCCATTGCTATTTGCCTTGCCACTCAACTAAAAAGCTCATAACAATAAACCATGTCAGTCGAGCCGTATACTATACATGTGTGCTTGTATGAAAGAGAAGGAAGAGCGAGATAGAGGGTGGATAGGGAAAGAGGAGGAGGACATTTGTTAGGATAATGGCGGTTGGCTATTAACGCCTTGATTAGCTCAATTAAAGTGAATTATATATTAAGCGCATGGGTATGTATGGCACTTGACAACGACAATCCGACCACACACTTGTAAATGCAAAGCCATCGTACATGAACACTTCATCGGTTAGGAAGATAAATGCAAGTTAGGTTTTAAGGGGCTCTAATTAAAACAAAAAGGGGTTCATATCATAATGAATTAGTTTAAAAATCTCTGTCGTTGAGACCTAAAATAAAAATTGAAGCGCTCCTTAAAACATCAAACAGCCCCAATTTAGACCCACATTATTCATTTAATGCATACAAATGCTCATCATGTATGATTGCTTCTATATCTCAGAAGGGGGTTTTTTAATTGAATACTTGAGGCAATTAACTTCTGTTACACAGCTTAAGCTATAATATAAAACTATCAAGGTTGCGCTCTAAATAATGCACCAAATGAAAAATTCTTGCACCTTGAATTTGTAATGCACTTTAAGTAATTCCGTGTTTTTGCGCAAGTTACAATTAGACTTTGGCGTAAACGAAACTTCGGCGGCAGTGTAATCAACGACTTTGGCGTCCAGTCCAGGGAAGCATTTAAATATTTAACAACAGCCGTCAAAATCACATTTCTCTTTCATTGAGCTACATGTTGGTAGTTACAAATGCAACTTAATTATCATACACACACATCTATATAAGTCCAGATATATGTACAAGTATATATAGATGTCTGCATTTGTCGGCTGCCTCTCTGTCTGCAAATGCAGAGTGAAATTTTTGCTAATGGCGAACCATTAGCATGACTCATTTAAAAAACGAACGCACACATGCGCATTGGCACACAAAAGCCGTGTATTTCGCAGCTGTAATTGCATTTACCACACACACACATATACACACACACACTTCCTCACATATTCCAGGCACACAACGAACTGAACTGGTAGTGTTAGGCAGGGCTACCCCTCGAGGGGAGGGCCCTCCGGCTTGGTGGGGTGCATTTGTAAATTGGCTACAAATGACTTCAAATTGCTTTAAACTGCAAAATATTTTCGCATGCAGAAAACTTTTTAATTCATATGCAGTGATTATGTTTGCGCGCTCACACACAGAAGTCACTCATATGCACAACACAAACTCCCACATACAAGTATATATATGTACATACAAGAATATACTCACATGTATGTAGAGTTGTGCGAAATGCTTGATTAGAATATTTTGAGCTTGCTCAGTCACAAACGAAAGAGCAAACATGCCAGAAATTCTATTTCATTTTAAACTTTTTCGTGCCTCAAAACTTTTTGAATGTTCCTAATGAATCAACAAACAACAAATGAAATCAGTCCAAAATCCTAATCGTTAAAATATTTATACAAATTAACTTGGTGCAGTCACAAATGCTGATCGTTATTTAAATCAGGGTTAAACACTACTAAATAAAATTTAGTTTTTATTCACCGACGATATTATCATATCGAAAACAAGAGAGAATGCTACAGTGTAGTTGTAATTGCTTCGCCTAAAGCTTCTTATACAAATAACTCACGATTAGTTTGTATAGATTTGAGATAAAAAAAACTAAATATATTCGATATAGTTAATTCATCCGTTTGTCCTTTCGTGTGTATGGAAAAGTGCGAAAGCTAAATAAAAAAGCTAAAATTAACTTGGTAGTCATATTCTCTTAATACCGTCGTGATTTCTATTATACCCTTCATAAGTACTTACATTTTTTTAAATGTATATTTATCCTTGACAGATATGATTATGATATTTTAACTTTAGGGGAAGTGATAGTCAAAGTTGTAATCTCTGACGCTTCTTTGACTCAACTTTGCACTACACAGCATAGACAAAACGCCGATGCCATATTTGGCAATTAAAAATGTTTCTTTTTTTTTGTTTTATTATTTGAATTTTTTACCTTACAATCTGTCGTAATTGCATTATTATTCTTTTTGGTTAAATTGTTTTGCAGTTCGTGCGAGTTTTTTGCTTAACCAGTACAAATATTCTGAAATTGTGCATAGAATGTTGCTTCTGTAGATAAAAATTCCCTGCTTTGTCTTGGTGCGCAATAAATAAACCAACATTGAATTATGTCATTAAACAGTGGCAGGCTCTTACAAAATTTATGAAAGCACTAATGCGGCGCCTAAAAGATGCAACACTTTTCTGCTTCTGGACGCGCACGTCAACACTTGCATCTGTCAGATAAGCGACTCAAGTGCATAAAAGCTAAAGCAGAAGCAGGAGGAGCAGCAGCGCCAGAAGCAGAAGCGGAAGCAGAAGCAGGAGCATAGGAGCTTCAAAGTACATAAAAATTGCAACGAAATTGCTGAAAACATGTGAGAAACGTCGCTTGACGACTAGAAACAGACGTTGAGTGGCGAAGCCATCGTCGGATAAACTCGGCGTCGCAGCCATAAAACGTGCAATAGCAACTGCAGAGGCAAACGGCAGCCAGGGAAGCAGCACTTTTTGCCCAAACAGATGGCAATCACATCACTTTTGGGCAGAGCAGGGCCGTCGTGAGGAGTGAAAGTATTTGCCAACTGCTGCACAGCGCGTAAACTAATCGAACGTCAAGAATTTGTAGAGATGGCCTGACAACGTGGCATGGGATTTGCCACAAAACTTGTCCACTAGTGTGAAGGTGTATGTGTGTGAGAGCGCTTCTACAGCTAGGATGAGCAGGAGACACCAAAGTATTTGACAAAATGCTCGCCGCCAAAACTAAAGTGAAGTACATGTGGATGTGTGTGGGTGAATCGGGGGATTTCCATTAGCAGCAGCCGACTCAGGCACAGAGAGTAAGGGCCTGGGACCTGGACTTGTAGTGTATCTGAGACCGAGGACAAACGATGTACAAGAACTTGTGCAAAATTGATGCACATGCATCAAACTGTAACATGCTGTGAGCTCTGAACTGTACGTTGAGTTTTTTGTTATTGTGATTTTTGTATAACTTCCCTTTTTCTCATTCTGCTGACGCTGATGACTTTGGCAAAGTTTGCGTAATTGCCATTGACAGGACATTTCGTTTGTGGAGCGCAATATTTCCAAGCTTCGCTGTTAAGCGGATTGCCGCTAAAAGCAAAAGCGACAAAACGTATTGATCCTGAGTGTTCATTGTGTTTAAATAGCATTTGGCGATAGATGAGAGGTGAAGCACACCAATACGCCAATTTTTTAAGTGAGTGTCCTGAAAATATAATTGTTTTGATACCCGGTACGAGATTAGGGTACACCTGGTACAACGTATTAGGTTTGCACAAATGTAAAGTTTACTTGATAAAATATAAGTTAGCTATTACTTTAACCAAAAGTAAGTTTAGCAAGGTACCCTTTTCCCCCTTTTTGGGGTAAGTTGGTAAACAAAATAAGTGTCAGAGTAAAGTCTAATTTGTTCCAGTAAAGCATTGAATGCCCAAATAATAAATGAGGTGGCAGAATATTATTAAAACGTCGTACACATTCCAAATAATATGCCCCTTTAGGGTTAAATTTAATTTGGATTTTATTGAGCTGTTTGTTATTTTGGAGCTATTTTCTTCACTGTAAATTGTTCAAACATTAGTTTGGTTGCTTAGGTTATCCTCTAACTCCAACTTTTATATTT